CCTCACACCTCATTTTGACCCCAAAACTTCCTCTCCCTCAACTCTTGCACTCCCAAGCCCCCTCTGGTCAATATGTTTGGAAGAAGCGCTTCTAGAAAGAGAAGGGGCACTGCTGGTGCTAGTAGTTCCGCAGCACCGCCATCTCAGGACCCTTCCCAGCTTGCACCACAACACCAGGCCCGTCTTGAGAACATCCGGACCTACCAATGGCACCCCATGCTCAAGCTAGATTTCAACATCCTGGCTGAGTTCGGATGGGAAGACGACGTCCGGGCCCATCTAGACAGCATTGGATGGGGATTCCTGTTGCACCCACCACCGACACATGTGTACCCGCAAGCAGTGCTGGAATTTTTAGCCTCTGTCTCCTACTCCGAGAGTCCCTCCACTGTCCCAGGCCTACCACCCACTCAGATGGTAACCTACTTTATGAATGGGCAATACCGAACTTCTACCCTCAAAGAATTCAACGTGGACATCGGGTTCATCCGACCCGAGGAAGCCATGAGCCAGGAGTATCGTGACGCTGTCTGCTCACGGCCCGCCCACCTTACTGCCGCTGAGATGTGGCGAGAGCTCACGGGAGCCACCACGTTGCCTACGCTGATGAGGGGATCTGCGCTTCCCCCAGCACTCCGCATCTGCCACAAGCTGCTGGCAGGAACTATACACGCGAGGAAAGAAAGTCAAGGCAAGATATCCCTTCCTGACCTCTTCATACTATACTGCATGAGCCAAAGGCGACGCTGCAACCCTGGGTACTTCTTCCTGAGAGCCCTCAGGGACTTCGGGAACAGATCTGTGGGGAGCGTCCTCGTTGCTCCCCTCATTACCCCCTTAGCAGAAAGGATTGGGTGTCCCGGACGGGAAGAACTAACCCACAACCTGCGTCCCGAATCCATCGGCGGGACGATCTTGGTCAGCATGGGAATGCTGATCCGCAGCGGGAACCAGCTGGCTCTCCACCCCACCCTGGATTTTGCCTTAGAGCTCCATGATGTGATGCAGGCTGCGCCCACATCCCCTGATTCCCAGCAGCAACACCAGCATCAGCAGCAGCCGCCCCGGTATTCAGACGACTTTGCTGGCATGCACCTCCACATGGACGACCTGTGCCGGCAGCTCGATGGTATGACTGTGAGACAAGAACAAGCGTCCCAGAGGCGTGATCAGCTATTCCAAACAGTGGAGCAACTGTCCCAAAGGCAAGAGGCCTTTGACACCCGACTGGGGAGATGTACCAGTACCAACAAAGCATGCGCCAAGACTGGGCGACTTTTCAGCAGAGGTACCAGGATGAAGTCCAAGAGATGGAGGACTTCGGATACCACATGTACCAAGCATTACCCTCCCCGGAATCAGGCCCGAAGATAGCCCTTAGGGATAGTAGCTCCAAGAATAGGGTTGTAATAAAATTTTTCCAATAAATAAAATTTTACTTCATGCATCCTTTTTTGCCACCCTTCCCAAAAGTCAGCGTAACAAAAAGAAAACTAAGAGTAAAAGACATACGCTCAATAAAAAAGCCAAAATCCTAAAATCGCGAGAAAAGAGAGATAAACCGCGAGAAAAGGCGGGGTTAAAACCGTCGCACCAACCAATAAAGCTTTAATCGAACAAGAGCTAAACAAAACCAAGATCCATCCAACCAACCAGCAGGGATTGGAAGATCACTACCAAAAGAACAAAAACAAAGGACCCCGGCAATCGGCAAAGGTCGATTGATCACCAACAAAATCCCGGCATGGCCCGGATGACTATTCAAGAAATCGAAAAGCGGTCAAATCTACACAAGCAAGCACTCTCCGAGAGCTGCGCTTGATCTGCGCCCGAGCCGATCGAGTAAGTCGCATTACCACCCTGATGGGGGCTCATACCCATCCGGTCCCATACAACGGACCGTACCACCCTGATGGGGGGTTCATACCCATCCGGTCCCGCACAACGGACTGTACCACCCTGATGGGGGGTTCATACCCATCCAGTCCCACACAACGGACTGTACCACCCTGATGGGGGGTTCATACCCATCCAGTCCCACACAACGGGTTGTACCCACCGCCCTGATGGGGGGCTCGTACCCATCCAGTCCCGCACAACGGACTGCAACTACCAGCCTGATGGGAGGTTTATACTCATCAACCGAAGGATCGGCTACGTCAGAAGTTGTATCCGGAGGTTCTACCACGTGCTCACCAAAGGGATCGGCTACGTCAGAAGTAGTATCTCGGAGGCACGCGACCACAACATTTCCCAGAGGATCATCCGCCACAAGACGGGATATCCGAAGGGTAACCGGGCAAGAGGGTCAACTCCTTTACCTTCCTGTCAATCTGTCTGGCATAACAGGCCAACAGTTGACTAGTCAGGTAAAGGGGGGGCAGCTGTAGACCCCAAATCTTGCCCGGCCTCCAAATAAAGTCAGAAGGTCCCCTATTCGAAGACGGCCGGAGCCTAACAAGCCACTAGGAGAGACTATTAGGCTCCCATACCAAGATAGGAGGGTTTTTTGGCCCAAAATAAAGTTTCTCGCGTTGAAGGGGACTCCCGGGTCAAGTCTCGCTCAAGCGAGTACGTCCGTCGCTTGAGCGACAGGTGCCGCAAACAAAGGGGACTCCCGGGTCAAGTCTCGCTCAAGCGACTGGTATACTCGCTTGAGCGACGGATGCTCCAACAAGACCGGGGTCTCGTTGACTACGAAAACGAGACCGGGGTCTCGTTCACCCAGACCGGGGTCTCGTTACCAGCGAAAACGAGACGGCGGTCTCGTTGTACGAGACGGCGGTCTCGTTGCTCATGTTAAACGAGACGGCGGTCTCGTTGTACGAGACGGCGGTCTCGTTGCTTATGTTAAACGAGACGGCGGTCTCGTTGTGCGAGACGGCGGTCTCGTTGCTGTCAGACGAGACCGGCGGTCTCGCCACCTGACAGCGCGGAAACCTATAAATAGGGGCTCTCCCCCCCTCATTTGGACACACCACAGCTGCATAGCTCTCCCTTCTCTCTAAAACTTCTCTCTAGAATCCCTCCGACGCATTTCCGGAGTTTCTGAGTGTTTTCAAGAGTGATTTTCGACGTTCGAGAGGTTTCCGACGTCTTGTAGAGTGAAGGGCTGCCATAAAGCACCCTATTTTTCCAAGAGAATTAATATAAAAAGCGTGCTTCGGAGGTTCAAATTCTCTCCTTCCACCTTTACCGCTTTTATTTTAAATTATGCAGTAGACAGTAGGGCCATGTAGTCATACTTTTAAATTCCGCAGAATAAAAAGGGCGAAAGTGTATTTTTCTAGTTTATCAATAAAATAAGTCGGCCTATCATAGGGAACCCGAAAGGGGCGTCGCAAAGGGACTAATACTCCCTTTGCACGTAACCAACTCCCTTACCCAACTCTGGTTCTAATGACTAAAGTTGGTTTTCGAAAACCAACGCCTTTTTAAAACCCCTTTTCCGATGTTTATGGTAAAAATATCGGTGGCGACTCCATAGAACCCAAAATAAATAAGTCCTTGGGTTAGCCCGGTTGTCGGACAACTCAAGGACACCTTTCGAAAACCTCGTCTTTAGGTTAGCCCGGTTATCGGACAACCTAAGGACGTTATAACCACCAATAAAAACGCGAAAATCAAGAAGGGTCGATAAAACCATCGCGTCGCTCCGACCGCCTCGTTTTTTACGGCGGCGACACAGCGCAACCACAATATTTTCTATTTTAGATTTTTACTAAACCTATTTATGGCATATAAGGTCATACAAGTGAACATGGAATGAATGAGCTTACCATGAGAAACTTGTTTGGTGAACATTAAACATATTGACTTACACTATCTCGACCTTGTGGTTTAATTGATGCGTATCATAGCATATTACAAACACTTGTGAATTGAATGTTGCTTGTGGTAATGCATAATATTATTTTAGATGGTGGTGTAAAGTCTTTGAAACTTGAATTGAAAACATATCATACAAACTTGAATGATCATGATAAACTTTTTTGTTTATTGATAATAAGAAGTTTGAACATTGGAATGAACATATTGATAAATTTATAGTTTCTTTTTTTGAAATGAAATGAATATTTATTGGTCCTTATATGCATTTTCTTATCATAATTGTGAAAAATTATGAATAGTCCTTTGATATTAATGTTGTTAGTTTTTATTTTTATTTTTACATGTGGGTATTTGATTCTCATGAAAGAAAAATATACACGCTCATTGATAACAAGATATTTGTCCTTTATGTGATTAAAATATCATTTAGATATACTTTTTTTGTGTTTAAGATTGTTTTTAGTTTGAGTTTAATTCCCATTATGTTTGAGTGGAGGTAATAAAGTGTTGAATTTATAGACAAATTCTCTCTCTCCAAGCTAAGGAGGATGATGAATGCATGAAAGGGTCAATCATAGATTTAGAATTTAAATTACAATTTTCCGATTTTAATTTGTAATTTATTATATTGGGTCTATTATGTATTTTTATAATTTTTGTAACTAGAGATATTTTAGACATATTTTATATTGGAATTTAGATGACTTATTAGATAGGCTTAACTAGGGGACGAGTCTTGAGTCTTGGGTCTAGAGTATATAAGACTCTTTATATAGTCTTTTACTCATAATTGAAATGATTCAGATTTTAATGTTTAGCTTTGTGAGAGAAATTCTCTCTTGGTTTTTGTGAATAACTTTGAATCTTATATTTGAATTTCCAATTCAAATCGGTAAATCTTACTTAACTTATCAATCTACATTATGCATCCTTGACTTATCAATCTAAATTGTTACATCTTCATTTCTTACCTTTGTTGTCATTTTCTATTTTCTTTTGTTTGTATTCAATTGATGGAAATTGTTTGATAACGATTATAAACATTAATAGGAGGTTATCATTGGGGAACCACAAAGACTTAAGACAATTTTTGTAATTTTTAAGGAAACAAGAATTTAAACTTGAGGAAGAATTTGAAGTTAAAAGGCGTCGAACCTTACTTGAAGAGCATGGGGAATCTCAATAACAAGATGAAGTGTATTTGGTGCCAGATCTTCATTATTAAATATGATAAGATTCTCAACTTACTAGAAGAAAATGTGGAAGAATGAACAAATATTGGCTCTAATACTAGAAAAGTTTGAATAAACAACAGGGTATTCATTGAAAAATGTAAAGAATTATTTGTACAAGGGTCACTATTTTACACTAACAAAGATTGCTCAATCATTGAAGATTAATGTGAATGAATTATCAAATAATAGGAAAGTTAAAAGGGGTGGTTTTGATGGATTTTTGAAAGAGTACATGGGAAAATATGTAAAAATGTCAGAGAGTGAAACGTGAGATGATTTTATGGATGTTCTTGCCCTCATTCTTTATGAAATTATTCTTTGTTCACACTAGTGCAGAACAGGGCTTTTACGTCACTCAATTGTCGTCGTATGCATGTATATTCGACGTAAATAAAACACGGTGGCAATTTTGTAAATATGAGACAAAAATTTTACATCGCACATCCCAGTATGCGACGTAAAAAGCTTCTTTTACGTCGCACCTGGGTGGCGCGACGTAAAACATGGACTTTTACGTCGCGTGCTGGGGGGCGCGACGTAAAAAGCCTTAGCTTTTTACGTCGCGCCTCCAGCACGCGACGTAAAAGGCCATCTTTTACGTCGCGCCCTCCAAGTGCGACGTAAAAGATGGCTTTTTACGTCGCGTGCTGGGATGCGCGACGTAAAAAGTCTATTTTATTTCCCTCCACACCCACTTCTTCGTCTCGCGCAACTAGGGTTTTTGAGAATGACGATGAGAACGACGACAACAGCTACCTCTGCACACCATTTTCGAGCAGTTTTACAGTGAAAAACATCTATATTATCGTGTCATTTGACGAACTTGATCTTTCTCCCCGATTGGATTCGAGTTTGAAATCAGTTTTCGTCTACACTTGAGGTTAGTGTTCTATGTCATTGCTATATGTTTACATTGAATCCGTGATTGTTTTTGGGGATCTCAATCACGTTATAGTATGAATGTCTCCACTGGATTGTTATTGGAATGTAATTATTTGTTTATTTGTTTGAATGCATTCGGTTTACACACTCCATTGTTGTTGGAACGTGCTTTCAATTTGTTTATTTGAAGGCCACAGATAACAAACCTAAACCTAATGTTACCGTGGCAAAAGATGGCAGTGGAAACTTCAAAACCATTTCTGAATGTTTAAATTCTATCCCTGCAAAGTATGAAGGACGGTAATTAGCCTCTCTCACGCTCTACCCCGTAGCTAGAAGCCTCTAGCTTATTTATATCTGCACGTATATTTGCTATCGTTTGAGGTATAATTATTATTGGGGTTTGAAAATGCAGGTATGTGATTTTTGTTAAAGAGGGAATATACGATGAGACAGTGAAAATAACAAAGAAAATGCAAAATATAACCATGTACGGTGATGGATCCCAGAAGACCATCATCACTGGTAACAAAAACTACAGGGACGGAGTCAGGACTTTCCTAACTGCAAGTTTTGGTACGCAGCATGTCTAAAACTAAACACCCTTCACCATGTGATGTATATTTTTATTATTATTATTATAAATGGGTAACATATTGTTTTGGCACATGCACGCGCAGTGGTAGAGGGAGACAGATTCATAGGCCTAGCAATGGGGTTCGAAACACTGCAGGCCCCGATGGACATCAAGCGTGGGCTGCAAGAGTCCAGGCGGATCGTGCAGTGTTCGCCAACTGTCGTTTTGAGGGCTACCAAGACACTCTATACGTCCAAGCCCACGGACAGTTCTACAGGAGCTGCATCGTTAGTGGCACAATTGACTTCATCTTTGGTGATGCAGCTGTGGTGTTCCAGAACCGCATCATGGTTGTGAGGAAGCCAAATGACAACCAGCAGAACATGGTGACAGCACAAGGGAGAGAGGACAAGCAACAAGCCACTGGAATTGTGCTCTAGAAGTGCACAATCAAACCTGATGACAAACTGGTCCCAGTAAAGGACAAGATCAGGAGCTACCTTGGAAGGCCATGGAAGGAGTTCTCAAGAACCATTGTGATGGAATCAGAAATAGGTGACTTCATTCACCCTGATGGATGGACAGCTTGGAATGGAGACTTTGCTCTCAAAACATTGTACTATGCTGAGTATGGCAACACAGGACCTGGTGCCACCACCAATATGCGATGTAAATTTACGTCGCATATTGGTATATGCGACGTAAATTTACGTCGCGTATTGGTATATGCGACGTAAATTTACGTCGCGTATTGGTATATGCGACGTAAATTTACGTCGCGTATACCATATGCGACGTAAATTTTCTATTTTTTTTTAAATTGAAAAGGTTTTTACGTCTGTTTAGTGTAAATCTACGTCGGATCTGGATAACTGACGTAAATTTACGTCGGGCAAAAGGGTCCGACGTAAATTTACGTCTCCCGCTTTAACGTCGGACTTAAATACGACGTAAAAAGCCCTAAATACCTGACGTAAAAGCCCCTTTTTGCACTAGTGTCAAATGTTGAAAATTTAATTTTGTACTTGTTGATATTTTCCTAGCATACAAACATATAAAGGGAAACTTAGTGTCAGTTGTCCTTAAACAAATGGTTCATCGATCATATGTTTAAAGGAGAAGGTCAAATAAATATTAAAAATAAAAGTGAGTGAACTTGAAGTATTTCCAATCATAATAAATAATATTATGTTAATATTCTTCATATCAAGAAAGGATTGAATTGATATGCTATTGTAGAAATTTTCTTAATGTACCACTAGGAAAGGGTGTATTAACTACAATCTCATTTTAATTTTGAGGCAATTCAACTACCTAATAAAAAATCTATTGACGGAAGAATCAATGTCTTATTTCACAACTTATGAATTAAATAAAAACATGTAAATGCTCTTTAAAATTATGAAAGTTTGGAATCAAGTTTATCCAGGAAGGAAAAAAAGCTAACAATGTGGCAAATTCAAGTTGTAGGCAATGACTCGAATAAATAGTCCAAAAGATTAAATTATCTTTTTCATAACTCAATCCCAATTGTCAAAGATACCTTGTCAACCTCTTATAAACCTTGAAGAAATAGAAAAACTTAGAGATGCATTGTTAAAAATTAAAGAAGAAATAGAAAAATTGAAGAGACATTTGATAAAAGTTTGTTAAAAATGTCAAATAACATAAATAAAATGTAAAATAGATATAATTTATTGAAGAAGCAAACAAAAGGTCAAGAATAGAAAAGGAAAGCAAACTCGAAATGATAAATTGTTTGAATGCTACTAACATGGAGCTAGGGACAAGAAGGAGGCAAGAGTAAGATGATGTAAAAGCATAAGTTTTTCATTTGAAAGAAATTTCGAGTTAGCTTAAAGAAACACCCAAATGCAAATGGATGATTTGACTAGGAATGGTAAAACGGGTCAGGCCCAGCGGGCTAGTCCGCCAGCCCCGCTATAATATGGTGGGGCATGTTGGTGTTTTCAGCCCACCAATCCGTTTTGGCTTGCCCTGCCAACCCGTCGGGCCAACCCACGGGACGGGGTGGGCCAGCCCGCGACCTACCTAATTAATAAAAAAATAATTTTTTATTGTAATAAAGTTAATTATAAAGATAATATATAAAGTTAAAAATTTTAAAAAGAGAATTAAAAAAGTTTCACTCTCAAGCAAATATTCTCCTTACTAAAACACAACATTCTCTCTTGTTCTCCTTGTTCATCCTAAGCATCGAATATTTTTATCTTTATGACTTGAATTAAAGGTGTAAGAATTATTCAACCAGGAATAATGTAAAGTTTTATCAAATAAAAAAGATATAGGTATTTGAATTTTTCAATATAAAAAATATAAATTTTATAAGTTTTAACGTTATATATATATATATATATATATATATATATATATATATATATATATTTGTTATTATTTATTATTATGTAAATTTTATTATTGTTGTAAATTATAATTTCTTAAAACAATGTATTTATTTATATTATTAAATTGAAATAATATATATATATATATATTGAATTATTGACAAACAAATAATAATCTTATTATTAAATTTATTGAAATTTTTTATTTTAAAAAATAAATTATTTTTTTCTAAATTATGGCGAGCTAGCTCGCCAGCTCGTCCCTTGGTGGGGCGGGCCAAGGTCTACAGCCTATCATGACTATAACGGGTCAACCCGCCCCGCCTCGCTTTTGGCGGGCCAAAGGCAGGGCGGACTGACCCGTTTTGCCATCCCTACCTTTAACTCTTGGATTCGATCTATGTTGGGGCCTATTACCAACATGTCATCCACATACAATAACAAGATAACAAAATCATTATCACCAAACCTATTGTAATATGTACAATGGTCTGAGCTTAGTCTATTGTAATCAAGGCAAATAATGAAGGAATCAAATCTCTTATATCAACATTTGGCGTCTGTTTTAGACCGTATAGAGATTTGGTCAACCTGCAAACCAAGTTTTCTTATTCTTTAAAGCCTTCTGGTTGGAGCATATAAATTTCCTCTTCAGAATCTCCGTGAAGAAAAGCAGACACTCTAGCAAACTTTAATCTATGTTGTTTGCTTGCTTATCACACAGTGCTCGCAAAAGGGTAAACTAACCTCTTTAAGCCCGGGTAAGAGATTACGTTCTACAAAGATTTTCAGACCATGTTCTAACATATGACCAAGTCTATGATGCCACATGATCACTGTATCTTCTTGACTTGTTGTCGCAACTGATGCATCCGCTTCTTTCAACGTATCTCCAAGCAGCACATACAAATTTGCCACAATCTTCTTTGTCTCCATGACCACCAAACTCCCATTCACCACCTTCAAGATTCCATTTTCAACATGGATCTTACACCCAAGGTCATCTAATTGCCCAATGGACAATAGATTCTTCTTCAAATCCTTCACATGTCGTACCCCTTGAATTGTGCGAACAGTACCATCATACATTTTAACTTTGACAGTACCAACTCTAGTAATCTCCAATGCATGGTTGTTTCTCATGAAGACAGATCCACCTAAGAATAGTTCATAAGTGTGAAACCAATCTCAGTGCGAAGTCATGTGCCATGTTGCACCTGAATCCACTATCCACTTGTCATGAAACTCCTTTTCACCATCAGAGTTAATTGTTGCTTCACTCACCAGAACATCTCCATCTTCCGAGGTACTTATAACACAACTTTGTGAGGTTGATTCTTCATATTTGTTTCCTCCATTCTTTCTCTTCCAACACTCTTTTCTCGTATGTCATTTCTTGCCCCAAAAGTAGCATTTGATTTTAGAACTCTTCTTACTTCGAGATCTCGATCTATCATTACTCGAGCCATGTTCCGTTGATCTTCCTCGAGCCATGTTCCGTTGATCTTCCTCTCATCATTGCCAAAACCTCTACTTGTTTGGAACTTTCGCCCGTACTCATCCACCTGGATTCTTCTCCAAGAATAGCTCCAACGACATCTTCAAAGTGCATATTCTCATCAATATTATTATTTTTAATATTGATGATGAGTTGATCATACGAATTAGGTAAACTCTGAAGTAGAAGCTCTGCACGCTCATTTTCAACTATGTTGAAATCTGCCGCTGATAGTTGGGCAAATAAGGTATTCATATGGTTGATGTGGTTCGTCACTGATGTGGACTCACTCATCCGAAGAGTATAGAGTTTTCTCTTCAAGAATATTCTTGTGTGAAATGACTTCACCTCATATAGTTTAATGAGGGTATCCCAAATCTCCATTGCAGTATTTTTCTCCGCAATACTAGATAAAATTGAATCTGTCATTGATAAGTGCAAATTCGCAATAGCATTGTCTTTCATTTCTTTCCACCGTCGTTCATCTGTGTGTTCCACGGTTGTTTTCGCAATTGCATCAATACAATTGTCCTTCCTCAAAATTGTCTTTATCTTCAATTTTCACAATGAGAAATTACCCCCATTGAACTTCTCTATCTCATATTTTGTTGTCATGGTTCCTAAACCGACTTATACAATCCTCATTATGAATAGTATTGCCTACTGGAACAACAACGGTAGACCGTGAACTGGTACACCAGGTAAGTTCCCAGGAAAGAGAGGTGGGTCACTAATGGACACACTTAAATACCAAGTTTTTCCTTGCTAGAACTTTTCCTAAACATGCATTATCACACTACCAAATAATATTCAGTAACAAGAATAACTCTTTTTTGATATAGAAGATCAGATTAACCGCAACCACATAGCATACTAAGAATTTCTCCAACATTATTCTAATGACTATGCAGCAGACCAATATCACAACCTAGTGGCTCTGATACCGCTGTTAGGTATCAGACAAAAGCATAAGCACACACAACTAAATAAAAAGATGAGAAAAACACCGACAATAGGCAAAAGAGTAATTCCACTAATGAAAGAAATTACAACCCTTCTCTCTCTACCTCCAAGGAGGAAACAATAACACCCTCTCTTGAAAATAAAGGAAAAACAACTCTAAGAGAACCTAAAAGGATAAACTATTTCTCTCTCTTAATTTATCTCTCAAGTACTAAAGCAGCAAGAGAAAGAAAAGGAAGTGATTTTGGTGCATCTTACAAGGTAAATATTGTGCTCCTTTTATAGTAAGAAAAGGAAACACCAAACTAAGATTTCCCTGATGTGAAACTTTTCTTCTCACAATTGTATCTTTCAGAAGAATATAAGATTAGTTGTTTCTTGAGCGGCTTAAAACAAGATATTCAAATGGTAGTGCACATGTTCTAGCCAACCATCGAGTTATATGAATCTACGACAACTTCTTCTTTTCCACAATTCTTGAAAAAGTTTAAGAACAATACAACAATTAAGCCTCTACTATATCTTCTTTCCTTTAGTAAACATGATATTTCCTCCACCAAAATCAACACACAAATTAGTAACCAACCCTACCAAAAACTCACACCCACTTTTA